CCTCAAAAAAGAAACAAATAAAAAAACAAAGAGAAAAAGATAAACTGAGGAGAAAAAAAGAGGTCAAAATGCAAACCATCATTTCCATGTGTGTGTGTAACGTACTGTGTGGTGGGTCTGGTGTGTCTTGCATATGTTCGTGTAATTGTTGGGGCTGCGGAAGTGCATGAAACTGATATGCACAGCTAAAAGTATGAAAAACTGAACGCATTCCCGTTGGGTCGAGCGAAACCTAATTCGAAATTGACACACACAACCCTCGACCCACTAATTAGATGATGACATGTGGCAACGCCAAGCACTTAACACGCACACATACTCGTATGCCGTGGCATGCCCCCCCCCCCCCCCCCCCCCCCCCCCCCCCCCCCCCCCCCCCCCCACAAAGAGTTGCATCCCTCTTGTACTGGCGGTGGCGATTGACCATGCCGAACTACCCACTACGCTGGTCCGTGCATCGGTTCTTTCCGAAGTAGCCCTATGGTAAGCGAACGCCCACCAGAACGCCTAGAAGAAGAAAATAATTGCACTCTGCATACTCTATTAAATCTAAATGCAACTGATAACAAAGTCAATTTAAGCTAGGATTTAAAAGGTTGCTTTTTGAATCTGCACCACCGCCGAACCAGTGCCCAGTGACAGCAATGCAGCGTGACCGATACACGGTTCATTTGGAGTCGTCAGAAAAAAAAGAGAATAATACAATTTCTTGAGATATTCTGATATCAATTCACGGTTCTAAAAACTATTTAGCTTCCTTGTATATTACACATAATAATATTGATATATTTTCTTGAAAGATCTCAAATCAAATCTGTTGATTTTCCATTCGCTGCTATTCACATGATCCAGGCTGTCTGAAGCAGGGAGAATGGAATCATTCACGTCTCTTCATGTCTTCATTTTTATTACATACCCCTCGGGCAGGTGTTGGGTGTGCGCGGTGCTTTGCTGTGCCGTGGTGATATCCTTGAAAAGGTTCTTTGACACAACACAACGAAGCACAGGAGCAGGCAAGGAATAAGAACAAGAAGATGGGGAAAACGAAGATGAAGCAGACGACGACGGCGACGTCAGCGTCAGCTTCACTGCTGTCAGCGACATAGTTTTGAGGCAATTTTTTGTTGTTTTGCGGTTGGTATCTTGCCAGCATACAAATGCAGCTGGCATTGACCACGTACACACACGCACACACTTAGAAGAGAGGAAATGAATGAAAGGTGTATTTTAGAAGGTGGGGCCTTTGCTTTTCTACAATCACTTCTGCTGCAGTGTTAATGGCTATCCTTTGAGTCATCTCCTCTGAAATTTCTCGCCTACACTCTTACAACTCTGCCTTTCCTATCTAGTATGTATTTGTATCTGCAGGAACTCTACCATCACCCTCACCCTATATTAACACTCCTTGCCGTCTGGTAAGCTACATGAAGATGGCTTGAAATCTTTTTGTTTTCTTTCTCTGTCTCTCTTTCTCTCTATATGTTGTCCTCCGCAAGGCTGCTAGAAGTTTTCTACAACAATATTCCAAAATAATCTAACAAGAGAAGAGAAGCTATGAGACGCAGGCAGACCAGCAGACCAGCAGCGCAGTCGCAACTGCAGTGAAAGATTACATGCTGATAATGGTGCTGCGACGGCGCACAGGATAGAAGAAAGAGAGAGAGAGTGTAAAAAACGTCTCTCTGAAAAGACAAATAAAACACACACACACACACAGTGGAAGAATACGTAATAAGCAACACGACATGAAATAAACAGAAACAAAACAAAAAACAACAAAGAGCGTAACTAACAAAAGTCGTGATTTTGACTTTGGCGATAAGCAGGGGAGGACATTGGACGGATATGTCTGGGCTGTTCTGTTCTTGTGCTGAGGAAAGAAGATAGGGCTCAGAGCCCAGATCCCAGATCCCAGAACATGCAGTTGCATTACAGGCAGGCACAAACTCAATGTAATTGTGGTTGCTGTTGTTGTTGCTCTTAAGCCAATTTTACACAATTTACAAAAGAGCGAAGAAAAGGTCATGCGCATTATTTCAGATAGACAGACAGAGCAGTGTTGCCAGATCATGGACGAGACGAAAAGAGAGAGCAAACCGAATTTTTCAAGTACAAGAAGCTATATAACATTTAGAATATCTAAATAAAACTCATAGTTAATCTCTAATAGGTCCCAGCTACCAATTGATTAGACAGTGCGTTGTTACCAGACCACCTCCGATACTGAATGCATCCAAACATATGTAACTCCTGGCAAAATGTAGTTTTCCCACACAAGCATTTCAAAAGAAAAATAGCTATTTAAGCGACCCCTTCCACTTCGTTTCCCTTGTCGGTATTTTAAGGCCACAGCACACAGAAGTTCATTCTATATGCACACACAATGCAAGATGTTTTTTGAATTCTTGAGCATTCTCTTTTACAGCAATCTCTTGTGCGTCTACAGTTCGTGGTATGGTTGTAAGCAGATGATGCTAGATTTTGCTTGCTCGTATCGGGAAGACCTAACCTTTAGCTTATTATTTGGGCCCGAACCGGATTTTAAGTTCCAATATTGGTGTTATTTTGTTTGTTACAATAAGACAAGCTTCCACTTACCATGATATCTGCCGCAAGCTGACATCGTTACCATGGCTGCACTGCTGCCGCCCGGTCCGTAGGAGCCTGGTGCGCCGGCTCCCAGTCCGCCAACCGATCCAAATGGAGCCATACCAAGGCCGAGTCCGGTTCCAGGTCCGCCAGCCGCATTGGTGGGCTTCTTCCAGCCGCGCCAATTGTTGCACAACGATTCGGGTTCTGAACTCCAGCTGCATAGCGAGTCCTCCTCAAAGCGGATGGAGTCATCGAAGCTGAAGCGGTCCATTTCCTCAGGATTCCATTCATTGGCGGCACCGCCGCCGCCACCGCCTACTCCACCGCCGCCGTTTGCTTCGGCGCCAGCGCCTCCTCCGTTGCCAGCACCACCGCCTGCTCCTCCGCCATTATTGTTGTTTCGGTTTGATGCATTGCCCACTGAAGGACCTGCGTGTCCTCCGTCCCCTCCTCCAACGGCACCGGTGTCGCCACCTCTGTTGTTGTTGCTGCCACTGCGATTCGCCAGCGTGAGGCTGAGATTGTATTGGTGTGTGTGGGGATGTGTGTGTGAGTGGGTGTTCCGGCGCTGCTTCTGTTACTGCTTCGAGCGCGTGTTTGTATTGGTTTAGTTTTGTGTCTTATTTATTTCATTTGTTAATTATATTATTTTACTTGTTTAATGTATTATTTTCCTTTGTTTTTGGATGGATGAAAGTCTCGAATGCGTAAACGCTCAATTAAAATCGTGTAAAAGGCGAATTTAATGTTGAGCGTTTTTGACAATGTTTACACTTTTTTTTTACTTTGCCTTTTGCATTTTATTTAACTTTACTTTTACTTTGCGATTTGATTTTACCGTTATTGTATATTTTGGGGTGTTAGAATTCATTAAATTGATTTAAAAACTATTTCTTTTTCATTTTATATATGTACAAAATACATTTCTTTCGTCGACAGCGGCTCTGGCTCTGCCTGTGTCTGCGTCGACTGCGACTGCGATTCCCACTGCCACTTCTGCTGCCTCTGGCGCTGCTGCTGCTGCTGATATTGTTTGTTGTCGTTGTTGTTGCATGTGAATTTTTCTTACCCCCCACTGAAGCAGTGTCTTGGGGGGAGAGAGCAACACCAAACCAAAAGCAGAGAGAATGCGAGAGAGAGGACGACGACTGCCAAAAATAAGAATGGTCGCTGGAGAGAGGGGAGGGGAGAACAACGCCAAAATGGCCAATTTGTAGGGGTATCGCTGTAAGACGACCGTTGCTCTGTTTCACTTTTTCCACACACCGTTCACTGCTGCACCGCACATTACCGCTCCTTCGAATCGACCACTGCCAGGCAACCTTTAATTATTTTTCACTTTTACGCTTTGGCTCATCTTCTCGCTCCTGTTTTATCCTGCCATCACTCACTTTACGAGTGTGTGTTGCTGTGTGAGTGTCTCTTTACCGCGAAACCTGCGCGCGCTCTCCTTCTCTCTCGCTCACACGCTTGTCGATTTTCACTGCCTTTTTGCCTTCTTTCTTTGTGTATATGCGCTGCGCGTTGTTTTGCGTGTGTGTGTGTTGTGTGTGAACGAAATGCGTTCAAAGAGAACGGTGAGGAAAAAAACTTTTTCTTTTGCGTTATTTTGTCCCGATTGCCCGTGTCCAGAAATTGATTAAACTTGTTCAACTGCACTCAGCACTTAATTGTCGTTCCAATCGATGTTAATTAGAGCTTTGAGTTACGAATAGTTTGAATTAACACACACTTTTTGAATAATACACGGGACGGGGCTTTGTTTTTAGCCAGCCATCCAGTGTGACCGCGGATGTATCGATAGAGCATACCGCCACCTGACCCTCAGAAATATACCAACACATTGATGAAATATACCATATTATATTCCGATGTGGTGAGGAATGAACTTAACCCACTCAACATCCCTCAATATAAACAGGTGGAAAATAATTCTTTTATTACTATATTTTGGTAGATCTCGTTACTTACAAAGGAGAATAAACAAGATAGCTTTCAAATCTTTATTCAAGTTACTTAATTTTCATGGAAATGACCAGGGTTTTATGTGGAATTGATATTGATATTCGCATGGAGTATAACATTTATAATATAATCTGCAACAGGCGATGGTTTTGGGTACAGATCGATAGCTAGCGCTGCACAGCCAGAACATAAATTTGAAAGAAACCGTAAAGTCAAACAAATTTGTTGGAAGTCCACGGACCGCTTCTCTCAAGGAGAGAAGACCAGACGGTCACACTCACTACAAAAAGAACTAAAAATCATTCGAATGTTTTGGTATGGACATTATTATCCACAAATGCACATGCATACATCCATATGTACGCACCTTAGGCGAATTTTCTCGTCAAATTAAGTTCAAGGTACATTTTGGTTTGTTTTTGAGGGTCAGGCGGTTTATTTGATCGACAAATCCGCAGTCACACTAGCGTACGCTCCAATCAAAGAACCGATCCAAAAAACTTTAAAAGAATCAAAATGCTGGAGGGCGTACTCATCGAGATTCGCCCATACCTAAACTGTGGCCAAGTGTATGTCAAACTGAATCGCAATAGAGCCAACAGAATGCGCATCTTTGTCCTGGAGAAGAGAATCTACATCGATGATGCAGACGAAGGAACAGGTAAAAGCAGCAACACCGAGATCATGCGCGTAAACGAGTTCGACCTGGATCTCGGCAGCCTGTCCGGCTTCCTTTTGAGCGGCAAAAACATGAGCTTTCGCTTTAATTTCAACCAATTAACCATGTCTGCCCTTGACAAACGCACGGTAAGGGTGCTCATGCAGCCGCTACTCCTAACATGCCGCGAGAGTGACTCCCTGGCGATCCAATGCGTGGGCTGCCAGGCAGAGGTCGCACCGCTGCGCATCTACAGGCGCATGCGTGAGTTTCCCAACTGCATTGTGGATCCAAATGAGTTCTTCTGCCATGGACACGGAAGCATGGGGTGCCAGGACAAACCATACAGCCTGTTGCCTGGCGAGAGAGACCTGTTCTACGGTCTGAACAATGTGATCATACGGATGGTAAATCTGAGCAATATTGTGCAGCGTGGCGAGCACTTGCATTGTCAGCGGTGCCTGCGCTTCCTGGGCATGGCCATCTTCAATGGCGCAGCGGCCAGACTGTGGGCCGACACCGTCCGCTGGGTGCCGTTCGCCCAGAAAGCATACGAACAGCAGCCGGCCAGCCGTCACTTCTTTCAGTTCTCCACCCTGACGGAGCTGGTGTTGCGCCTGCTCAACAGCCTATGGCCACACATGCTGCCATCGATAAACCTGACGGGCAGCCGCGCCGTGTTGTTCGCCTCTCCCACGTCGCAGCAAAAGCAGTATATGCTCATCCGTGTGGTGGAGCCGCAGCTGAGAGTGCTGCGTCGCATCAGTGGACATGCGCCCGAGCTGCACGGCCACTATGCCATCAAGCTGAACTACGGCATTGTCGAGGACTGCCAGGCGGAGCCGCCGGCTATTGTGCAGCGCTGGCAGACGCACCAGGATGTCTCCCAGTTTGAAATCTCGCCACAAATGTTCATGAAGCTGCGCCAGCGCCTGGACCATAACGCCGAGTACCAACCCATAGAGTGGCGCCACAATGTGATGTCAGATAATCTCATCCTCACTTACTTCATCTTCGAGGAAGAAGCTCAGCCGGGCAGAGTCAGTGTGCCTCCACCGAAGCTACTCTGCAACGAGGAACACAGCAGCGACAGCGATGACGAACAGTCTGATCCAGGCAGCGTGAATTCCACCCGTGAGCGCAGCCTTCGACTCAGACGTGCCATATCCCTGCCGAGTGTGCTCGATGATAAGTCCAATCACAAGCGTCTGCTCAAGTTGCACCTGCATCTGGCCAATAATAAGTTTGGTTCGAGCCACGATGCTTCCTTAAACTAATTCTCGTATCCTTCCTTTCTTTACAGACAGAGTGGCAGAAGAACAGAGCTTCTGCTGCTCCATTTTTGTTGAATAATTTCTCCCCCAAAGCATAGTTTATTTGACGCATTTATTTAAGAGTTATAAACATTTTTCTCAACAAGTATTAGGCTAGAGGAAGTACTAGAGTAAGTGGAAGTAATGCTAGTCCAGCTGGTACAGTGCGTTCCATGGCCATGCAACCAGTGGCTGTGATTCCTGGATATATTTTTGTTATGTATTTTTCTTGTTTTCGGTTGTATTCTAACGCTGTGAAACGCACTGTACCATGCATTCATTTTTGCATGTTTAATGAAAAATTTAAGCTAAGAGGAAACCAAAAATAATTGCAAATATTTTATAAAAATAAAAAATATATTTAAAAGTAAAGAAATTAAAAGGGAGACGAAAAAGGGAAAGAGTAAGTGAATAAGAATAAAACTGAAAAACAAACAAATAAGAGAATATTTTTGTTAGCTTCAATTGTGCAACAATTAAAAACCTATAGAAAATAATTATAATATTAATTAAACCAAACCATGTGCATGAATATATTATATATTTTGTATCTAGAAAAAAACTGATGTAACGACTATAATAATTATCAGAGGTAAATGAAACAATGCAGGAAATGATTAATAAGGAGCGCAGATCCATCCAAATGAGGGAGTGGTCTGCCTGCCCGCACTGTCCGCCTCCTGCATGTGATTGAAAACGCTTTTTGGGTTGTAACTCAACTGCAACTTTGACTACAGAAACTCATCCAAAGAGAGGATAAAAGGGTGACCAGCCACAGATCAGAGCTAGCAGACGTAGAACAGATGTAGAAGTTACGATAAAATAGGGAGAAAAGAAAAGGCAAACCCAACCGCACCTTGCGTTCCTCACTTGGCCAAGCGTCGCATCTGCTGCGTCTGCTCACCCATGGCTATGTGGGCGTTGTCCGCCTTGTTGATTAACGCATCCAGCTTGTCCAGCTGCGAGTCCATGCGCTGCTGCTTGGCCGCCTTCGCTGCACTCACCTCGGCCGCTGTGGGCGGTGGCCGCGGCTGGTCCTGCACAGGGCCTGCACGCTCTTCCTGCGTGGCGACTGTCGCTCCCCCTGCAGCAGCAGCTGCTGCTGAAAGATCTACAGATCCAGAGCTGGGTCGAGCAAAGATGTTGGTTAGACTGCCGCAGGCCGTCTGCTTGAAACGATTCAGTCTCTGCTGCGTGCTGGACAATATGCTATTCAGTTCGCCCAGTTTGCCGCCGACATTGCCCAGCGATTCGTCTTGTTGCTCCAGCAGCTTTTGGGAGGGTGCACGGAGGAAGCCTTAGGATCAACCAACAAGCAAGCATTCATGGGTGGGGGTGGACTTACCACTGCCTCGGCTGCATCGTGGTCAGCCTGCTCCTGCTCCAGGCGCGCCTGCCGCCTGCGTTCAAACTCATTCTTGTCTGGCGCCTGCAGGCCCAGCAGCTCTGCCCGCTGGCACTCCTGCTCGTAGCTGTTGCTGCTCTGCTGATCCTGCTGCTGCAATTCGGACATCTTGCAGCTAAACAAACTGGCAATCGACTGGCAGTAACATCGATTTTTAGTCTTTTAATTGTCTCCGCCTCATCCCGGCCCCAGGCATGCGCAGAGCTTGCCAACTGCATGGAACAGCTGCCAGCAGCAGCCACCAAAAAAGTATTAAATACAAGGATTCATTATAGTCATGTCTGTGTCGACTATAGCCTGTATTTATGTATAGCTCGTGGGTAGGGGGAGGTATTTTCAGTACAAATAATAAACTAGGGATCATGAGGGATCTGAACTCCGCTCGTATATCTGAATGTAGGACTCGGTAAGTGTTATCATCTGGGGTAGAATTTCGGTGACATGCAGATCCTGCATCTCGTACCACTGCCCATTGGCCTTGTGCAGTATGTGGGCGCGATAAGTGCCCTTCTTGGGGTCACCATCGTGCACGATATTCGCCACCAGATTGTATTTGGTGTCCTTGACATCCTTGTCTCTCTGTCGCATGCCCAGAATGTCACCAAAGTCCACGTTTCTGCCAAAAGCAAGAGAGAATTTAATTTGTAGACCCCAAGAGATCTGTAACCAAACTCACTTGATGGGAAAATTAACAATTGTTGGGTTCTTCTCCAAGAAGAATGTGTTCTTGGTGAAGCGCTTGATGTACAGAATAATGAACTGTGGCAGTCGGGTGATCTCGAAGCGTTTCATGAAGTTATCCTTGTAGGTTTTGTACTCCTTCTCGGCGCTGCCGTTGAACTTGCCCAGCAGCTGGTAGAGATTCACCTGCGGTATGATGTTCTCGCGGAACTCGTCGGTGAACAGTGGCGGCGGCGGTAGGTCGCAGGTGAGATAGATAAAGTTTGTGTGCTCCACCTGATCCTGGTACTCCTCGGTGGCAAGCAGTTTCTCCTTGGCCGCATCGTCCAGCTCAACGGGCGGCATTTTGCGCGTAAAGATCTTCATTTCGCCCAGGAATATCTTGTACAGAATCGAGGAGTTTGGCTGCTTGTTGCCCTTGAGCGCACGATGCAGGGTGTTGAGAAACCAGGAGAGAAAGTCAATGGGATCGCCCTGCTCTGTGATTTGGAAGCGCTTGCTCGACCACAGCACCACCGCCTGCAGCATCTCGTGCGGCGAGACGTGAGCCTTGAAGTTGCGCGGATTCCACATCTTGCGCATCAGCTCGCCGAAGCGCTGCACCAACGTGAACATTGAGTCGCCCGGCGGCCGCTTGATCTTTGCGTAGTTCTGCTCCCGCAGGAAGTAGTCCCGCAGCGGGCCCACGTGCGAGAGGGCGTGCAGCACCACGTTGCAGTAGTCATTGGCCTTGATGTTGTTTAGGCCGACAACGCCGGGCAGATAGAGAATGCCGTCGACGGTGCGCGATTGCTTGGGCAGAACCAGATCCAGCTTGCTTATTTCCTGTTTGGTGAACGTCGGATTAAGCACGTACTTGATGTCGTCCAGCGACGAGTCGATTATCTCGTAGTTGTCCGGCAGGCAGTAGAATCTCAGTGTGTGCAGATTGAGGAACACATGATGCGCCTCACCCACCGAGTGCGTATAGGCGTGCGTGTTGGTGCCGCGGCCCTGGAAATACTTGCCGCACACCAAGCAGGCGTACACATTGATCCGCGTAAGCGAAACGGAGCAAAGCTTCTCGAAATCAAAGTCCAACAGATTGCGGTTGATCGTGTCCAGGTAGGGGCACACCCGATACTTTGGATTGAACACGGATGGCGTCTCTGCGTGGTATAAAAGAGTGGAATTCACATTACCATTGGGGTTGTTCCTTCCCAGGCATTGGACTTACCATCGTCTTCTTGTGCATTTGTCTGTCTGTTGTCCAGCCTCGGGCGCTTAGCTGCTAAACAAATGGAATTCTGTTAGGATTTTGTTGGATGCTTGGGGTACAAGTTTAGGTACCTGTAGATTTCGTTTGCGCCATTTCTTGCCGTTGTTTTTGTGTCAAAAATGCATTTAAATAAAAAACTTTGTTGATGGCGGTGTCGGATTAGTATTGGAAAGCGGCTGCCGGCAACAAGGTTGCATGTGCTGAAAATATCGATTATACCGATATGTTTGCGCATCGATATTTGGCAAGGACTTTCTCTCTTCTCCGTAGCACATTTTCTCTCTCTTCTGAAGGGATATTTCTCTCTGGCAACATGGGAATTTTCATCGCAACAATGAGTCTTTATTCCACCCACACTTACGTATTTTACCGTTGGCAACATAATTTGGATGGACCAGCAGCATGCTGCGAATACATTGTTTCCAAACATTTTTCATAGAATAAGCAACATTTGGTACCCTTGGAGGGAAGGATGTCCTCGTATTGAGAAATGATGGAGATCTTTGACTCTAATCAATAAAAAAACAAGTAAATCTGCTTTGGAGAGATATCTTAACAAATTTTGCATATTATAGAAACATTAAGCCATTATTATGTTTAAGAGCAGCTTTGAAAACGAAATGTTAATATTAAAAATTGGAAACATGGTATACAAAGGAACAAAGGAAACTACTGGGTACAAATTACAACTAAAACTACAAAAAATTGTCAAATAACTTAACAAATCATTCTAAAACGTAGCGGTTATTTATTCGTTTTTTTTCGAACATTTTCAGTTATATCGTTATTTTTGTAATTAATCCAATAAAAAAAGTTTTAACGGGTAGGCCAATCTTGTGGCGAATGCATTGTAAAATTGTAGAAAATTGTAGGTCCACGGCTGAGGGTCTTAGTTGGATGGAAATATTAAACAGAATATTAAAATCGAGTAAATGTCTCATTGACCGAGAACGATTAACCTTCTGTTGACCAATGGGTGTTAAGTGCAAACTAAGAAATTAATAAACTTAAATATTTTTAACGCAGTTTAAGTGTTATAAGTTATAAGTGGGCTGGTGCGATGGGTGGCTACAATAAACATTTACAAGCAGTATTATCTCTCAAATTTGGACTATTTAAATGGCGGGCGTTCAGCTGGTTAAGTTTGAACAGTCACTCAGCCATGCCTACAATTAAAAATAGAGATCAATGGATTATTGGATAACTGCTGTCCCCCTGCTCCAATAAAGAAATACAAATTAATTCTTTAAAGCCATCGGTGTGGAGGAGACTATAAAGGATACCCTAAGACTGACGGTTCACCCGCGCCAGCTGGTGGCTAATTTCTCCGCCTTTTTTATAACTGGTTGATTTGATTAAAGCTGCTGAGAGTGAATCTCTGAATTCTTTAAAACGACCTTAAACGCCCTAGCTACGGCAATTGAAAGCTCTCATCTTGGCAAAGAAAGCTTTCGCCTTGCCCGACCGACCGCCAGCAGATTAGAGCGATAAGGTGTAAACATAAATTCCAGTTCTTAATACGAAATACGATCCCACATTAGCACAGAGCGGAACTTTCCACAGTAACGCAACTGGAAGCTAGAGATCAACAGCACGCAAATCATCGACGCATAATGTGGGACGATCTCAAGAACAAGGTGATCTTGGTGACGGGCGCTGGTGCGGGCATTGGCCAAGCTCTGGTCAAACAGTTGGCCACCGCGGGAGCCACCGTCATAGCAGTGGCACGCAGCGAAGCCCAGCTCAAGGAGCTAACTGCCTTTGACCCCAAGCACATTCAACCGCTGCAGCTGGACCTTGCCGAGTGGCAGCCGGTGCGAGAGGCCCTGGCCAAGGTGCCGCTCTTGGATGGACTGGTGAACAATGCTGGAGTGGCCATCATCAAGCCATTCGAGGAGCTCACGGAACAGGACTTTGATACGTAAGCGAACAATAATCTCTAAAAACTAAAGAAACATTTCATAAATTTTGGTC